TATACTATTGTACAATACAACTACCTTCAGTTGTTGGCGATATTCAGATTTCAACCCGTCTTGTCATTCTGATCACTTATATATATATATATATATATGATGTATATGATGGGATATATATATATATATATGATGGGATATATATATATCACTATATTTAACGCGATTATCATTAGGTGATACAAACAACCTTTAGGTGAAAAAAATTTTGTACTCTATAGCAGCATGTTGCAGGTGCCAATGCTGAGTGTGAGTATGACTTTTTAGAATACTAAAACACTGAATTCATTCTGGCAAAAAGAATAAAAGTTTTAACAATAAGTCGGCATTAAATTTAACCTCAAATTTATTTTAATCCTAAATGCTCGCTTTGACCAATATAATGGAAATAATCGTGAATAGCAATCCTCATTGTTAACAATCCGCAAAACCTTCATCAAATGCTCTTCTCCTAAACAGTTTTGGTTACTCTACAAATACAAGATTTTTACGCAAAGTTATCAACTCGTTGGAGGGGTGGTGAAAATTCGTTGTCTGTTAAACTTTTTGGTCAACAGATAAAAGTTTTAAACTTAAACAATTCATCTTAAATCTTCTTTCTTCAAGTCATTCAAATTGAAATTCGTTCTTGCAACAATTAGATCAGGACAGACAATTTTTGAAAACAAAAAAAAAAATAATAATAGTAGGACCAAACCCATCGGAAACGGAAAATAAAATAACAAATATTAAAGGTAAAATAATTTACGGGCGATCCGAGGTCGGGAAAAGAAAAGGGCGTGGTTGAATTTTTAAGCGTTAAAAACGGTTTATCTCGATTTCGAGCAAAACTACGAGTTTCATAGAAAAAAGTTATATGGCAATATGGAGGATCTTTACATTGATCTATAACTTTTGTATATAAACTTTTTTCAAATAACCTCAAAATTTATGTGAAATATTCAAATAACCAAGTTTTTGGGTTTTTTATTTTTAACATGTACACAAAATTTTTTTCTTTCACGAAATTCGGTTAGGCTTGCCTTCCGATGTCCCAAATAGACTAATACATAAATTTTGAGGTTATGTAAAAAAAGTCTATATACAAATATTATAGATCTTTTCATTACCCTCACAATATTGCCATATACATTTTTTTGGTAAAAATAGTAGTTTTGTCGGAAATCGAGATAAACCGGTTTTAACCCTTTAAAATTGAGCCATGCCTCTCCCCTTTCTTTTCCCGACCACTGATCGCCCATAAATTATTTTAACTTTAATGTTTGTTATTTTATGTTTCATTTTTGATGTGTTTAATACTACAATGAATGAGTCTTCATTTTTTAACGTTTTCAAAGGCTTCTGCATTAGTCTAAATTACGACCTTTACATTTATTATATATTTATTTATAATATATGTACTTATGTACTCGCATATATTTGTAATTTATATTTGCGCTTCGAAAACAATTTCAATTAATTAGTTTCAGTGAATAAACATTCAAATGCGGCAACAACACAAAAGGATCAGAGAGAACATGAAAAGGAAGTGAAATGAAATGGAGCACCTAAACCGCAAGCTACCGAACAACTTGCTTATTCGACATTCTTAAAGTACCTTTATTAACTACGTACTGACCAATGTCACATATACAGATACATACACATACAGGTTGGTTGTGAAGTGTCTGCTCTCGCCAAGAAATAGCACTTCTAGTTCTAACTTTTTTTTTCTCAAGTTGGTACATCTGTCGTGCTTGCGCAGTATTAGATTCTTTGCTTTGAAAGGCTTAAAATCAAATGAAAGTTATAAACAATTGTTAGAAGTGTATAAGAAGTGTTTAAACGTAGTCATACCAGGCTTGAAGACGATCCACGCGAAGGACTTCCAAAAACCTCAACCACAGCAGAATTCATTGAGCAAGTTCATAGTATTGTTAGTGAAGATCCAAGTTTGACCAAGCGTGAAATTGCTAATGTCAGAGGCATCTCAGACGACCGAATACTTCATATTTTACATGAAGCTGTTTGGAAAGTTAGTGCCGCAAACGTTAACAATTCAACAAAAACTGGATCGAAAACAAATTTCCCAGCCTAATTTAAAACGTTTTAAGCAGAATAAAACCATTTATTACGTCGTTTTATAACTATGGAGGATACTTGGATCTACCACCATGATTCTAAATTGAAACAAGAACATTTACAATAGAATGAAGCTGGTTGTTCAGCTCCAAAGCAGGTGAAGTCCCAACGATCAGCAAAGAAGGTTATGGAATCAGTTTTTTGAGATGCAAAAGAAATTTTGTTGATTGATTATCTGCAGAAAGGTAAAACAATCAACTATGGATATTATTGCAGTTTTTTGGATCAGCTGGATGAAAAAATTCACCAGATTTGGCTCCCAGTGACTACTACCTCTTCAGAAACCAGAAACAATTCCTTTGTGGAAAACGTTTTTCGTCGAATGAAGAAGCTATTACAGCCGTAGACGAGATTTTGCAAAGCTGCCGGAAAGTCAATGTAGAGTTGGCATAAAATTATTAAAGGAACATTGGAATAAGTGTATTGAAGTTAAGGGAAATTATATTGAATATAAATATATATATTTCGTAACCAAAAAGTACTTTTTCACTTCGAGCGCAGAAACTTTACAACCAAAATGTATATTTAACACAAATAAAATGTGCTTTGACATGGAAATTCACAAATTTCCACGTTCCGGTTTTTTGTATAGTGATACCTTCTACAGAGCATATACAAGCATTTATTTTGGGTCAATTCGTTTACTCTTAAATTACTGTGCGTCTTTAAATTTTTATGCTTGTCCATCCGCATGCGCTTTTACTTTCCCAAAGTTGTTTGCTTATCAATGTAAACGTTTGCCGGCCGGTCTACTTGTATCCTTGTTAACGGTTTCACTTTATTCTGTCATTTCAATTTTTGTTGCCTTTTTTTGTTGTAAAACTATTCGGCCGTTGTAATTTTATGCTGACAGTGATAAATTGGACGCTCTTAAAAAGCTAAAAGCTGTCCAAAGTCATGCACGAAGCAATCAGAACAATATATTTATTCGCATTGACATAAACATTTTGGTGCACACAGACCCGGTGTTAAAAAATGACTTGATGAAATAAAACTACCAACAGATTTTTTATTTTATATTATTTTGATATTCATAATCCTGGAAGCTCAAGTCACTACTTTTTCTTTAAAGAAAGTTAGTAAATTACTCTAAAATTGCTTTTAAATCGATCCAAAAAGGGTAATCTGTTGTTAACTAGAGCTAAGAGCTATACAAAATATACTCTGAAGATCTTCAAGGCACAATCGACATTTCATTTTAAAAAACCTAATCGATATATCTATATGAATCCAAAAAAAGAAATAATTTCTCTTTACTTTCAATATAATTTAGCAGGCTGCAGTTTTAAGTTCGGAAACAACATAGAATAGTTAAGCATTGACTTCTGTCTACAACAAAGACGAGAAACTGAAACCATTCAACAAACAAAAAAAAAAAAACAATATTTTTGATTCATTTGTAAAAATTATCAAATAAGCTGACAATGTGAGGAGTTTCAGAGTTCGGCACAAATTTACAATTGCCCTCCTCACGCTTAGTAAAAACTTAAAGTCTCTTCGCTTTTCGGTAAAGGATTACAATCCAGACTCTCTACAGATCTCACAAATAATATTGATTTTTCCAAACTAAACGATCACTTTCATCCGAAGTACCCAAAAGAAAGTGTTAAGATCATTTGTAAGCACTATATGAATTCGGAGGCTCTTTATGGATGTTAGCAGTATAGCTTTCTTCAATACAGCAGACTTTGAAGAGTGGCGAATCGAACAGACAACTGGTATAAATACAACAGAATGCCATTATAAAATAAAAATTAGAGTACGTATAAGAAGCGATTATATCACTTAAATAGAATAGCTGTAAACTTACTTGGGTTAATTGATAATGGTTTGACAAAAGAGCAGAGCTCACTATATAGGGAGTAAAGTATGGCAAAACGAAGCGCTCTAAACCATCTCAGACAAATAACGACTAATTTTATATGTACATATTTCGTAAGCTCGTAAGGAATTTAGGATTGGTCCAAATATATACTTTATGTAGAAAGTTAGCAGGAAGAAGAAAAGGAAAAAAGGAATACTTAGATATGTTCGGCAAGTATTCGAAGCAATGTCAACAGGTTGTAGCAGAAAAACGAGCAAACTGTGTCTGCATTGCAAATATTTAATGAAGAACGCTTGTTCTGCACTTAGTCCTTCGTAATATCAACTGAAGCATTCGAAGAACACGACTCCTCAAACTTTGTACGCATTGTGTCTACGTTTACATATGAAACGTTAGGCGGCGCACCGTCTTCAAATTTCGAGAAAAAAATACATCAACACCGTGTTATAACGCTCGCTATTGATTGTAACGGCATTTCCTGCCTCATTTTTCATTTGATATTTTCGTTATAATCGTGCACAATTTTCACGACGAAACCTTACTGAACACACTGACAAAATATAACACAAATCCATAAACAAACATCGCCATCACGAGCTGTCAAAATCACGTCATCCCTATTGGCAGACGCTGTATGTAGATTTTTATGACTCTACGAAATTGTCGCAGATAATGAGAAAGTTAGTAATATATAAGTAGACTTTAAGTTTTTAATTTCACAAATTAAAGAAAAATAAATAAAAAAAAAAAGGAAAAAACGAAAAAAAAGAAACAAAAAATTAAAAAAAAACATAAAAATGTACATAAACCAATAATTCTGCATTGGACAAACAATTCGAAACCACAGAAGACATAAGTTCAGGGAATACCTCACACCGCTAAAAAGCAGAAACAAAGTTAATGAATCAAAAATATCCACACACACATTAGGGGCGCACTCTGCAGTGCAAATGACGCCCACACGCCGTGACGCAACGCCGCAACTTCATTTATTACAAAGCTGCCGCGTGACGGCATTTATAAACGCCGCTGCGGCATCAAGTGACGTCGCTGCCGCTGCGTTGCGGTTTACGTGGACCTTAGCTCCAGCAGCGCCGGCGCTGCCACCGGCAATTGAAATATTCCAGTGGCACACGCTCCAATAGTACGCCATGAGCCGCGTAAACGATTGGATGTAAACAGTTTCGAGTGCGCATAACACCGCACAGCATAGCAAAGCACGGCGAGCAAGCGACCGGCGTTTGTGATTTGAATGTGTATGTGCAAACTTTAAGTTTTCAATTGCGATTTAATTCATAAAATGAGTTGAAATTATAGTCAAATGGAAGGCTGGAAAGTTGCGTTGAAGAACTATATGGACTATACACATATGTACATAAATACATATACATATGCAGTGTTTGTCTTCAGTATTTCTGGTTAAAAAATCAACCGGCGAAGCGTAATTTGAAACCTGTTTCCTCAGTTTTGCTCAATGATGCTGCACAAATGCCGTCTCACTGGGATTTTTGAATACAAAAATGCGGCAAATAAATTTTTCTAAACAAGAACAAAAATTTGTGTAAAATTCAGGCAAAAACAAAATATGAAAAACGATACCAAAAGTAACAGTGAATTCCAATTGTGTTGTGGTAGCAAATTCTTGCTACTTCCGGTAAAAAGTTCAACAATTCATAGAATTCAAGAAAATTGAATAAGTATATGTAAATAGCAAAAATCATGGCGAATATCAACCTTTCAACTTTGATCTTCCACGAATCTGAGGAAAACACAACCAGTGATTTCATTTTGAATCTCAGCTCAACCACAACACCAAGCATCATCGAGCAATCACTGGCGCTCTATCATAACCGGCGTCGCTTCTTGTTCAGCGGCATTGTGCTGCTGCTCGGCGTTATTGGCAACTCTTTGGCGCTGGCGATTTTGGCGCGCAAAAAGACGACGAAGAACAGTAAATATACGCTGTTGTTGCGGTAAGTTTCTAAGTTTAAAGAAATGAAAGTGGAAAATCGTTGAAGAAATCCAATTTCTATGCATATCCATATTAATACTGTAGTAACCCATCAAACTAGTTAGAAATTAGAATCAAATCTTCAGACTTATTGAAATTTTTTCGTCCAAGTACATCGATATATATGCCATTAATATAAGCTCAAAAAAATGTCTGTCTATTTAAGATTTTTCGTCAATATATTGTTACTAGATATTTCATAAATTTGTAATTAAGTTTTTATGTGATATTTCAAAAATTATTTTCTTGAAATTGTTTTATATTGTAATTATTATCGTTTTTTTAGTTAAAAAAAATACATATTTGCATTAATATTAATCAATAATATTAAATGTTTGTTTGAAATATTTATCGTTACATACTTCCAAATATTATTTTTATGGCGTTTGAATTTAGAGAAAAAACTTTCTTTGAAATTATTGATTTAGAAATATCAACAGGGCGTATGAGTAATATTTATAAATATTTATTTTGCGTTAATTTCGCAGCTTGATTTTTGGAAGAAAGATTAAGCATACTTAATTTAATTTTAACAATACTTTCCAGAAATATGGGTTAATAAATATTACTATTTGTGTTCAGAAAAAAATTTACTCACCAAAATACAGGTCGTATGAGTAACATTACTTATGAAAAAAATGTTCAGCTTACAAAAAAAAAACAAATAAAATGTGAATTTTTATACTTGATGATGAACATAATATAATACAATAATAATGTAAGACTCATGCTGAAAATGAAAAATCGCCATTCTTCCAATTAATTTCCTTAAAAGTATAGATTTTTTCAAAGTTTAATACTCGTACAGAAAATGTTGTACTTATATTTATATAAAAACATATACCAGAAGAAAAGCGGTTTCACAGTGATACCGAAAAAATCAGTGTACTTGTATATATAGTTTCATATATAATTTTTATTCTTTTTCTGTCACGTCTGTAATATGAGCTTGACAAAAAAGGCGGATCATGCCTATATTTTAACTTTGGAGTTACTTATATACATAGACATTGAAGCCCAATTTTAAAAAAACATATAACACTAAAATCCTTTCGTTTCACCCAATCCTGTAGCATTTTACAATAAAAAACTCGCAACCACAAACATAAATTTTAATTCTAATAACATTTTAGTCGCAACATTGTTATCCATTGGAACACCTGTGGCTTTGCCAATATTTGTTTAATTTCGTCATATATTCAAATGCATAGTCTACTTTACTACAGAGTCTTAAGTATGAGTCATATTTATACTACAAGTAAAGTATATGAAGGTGTATGTGAGATACACATATTTCGACAGTTTAATTATCTTTGCTAATTCCTTAAACCCAAATATTACATAACCTGTATGTCAGCTCACAAAATATTTGTTCAGAGTATGTATGTATCACAGCATTTGCACTTTTTAATCCTCTCATATGCTTTTATTTTGCCATTTTTGCGCCTTTTTTTTTGAATATCAATGAACATATATGAATTCTAAGTATGTGTTATGCTTACAAAATATTATTCAAACTTATTTTGGTTGTCCCCTGCAGGTTACTGTTACCTTTTCTGCTTTGCTCCTCTTGATCTGTGCCCTTCTGCATTTTGTATTGGTAATTTGTTAACCATTCTAAAAGTGGACCACACACAGATAAAAAAATTTTCTCAGGGTTAAGCGCCTCCCGAAAAATGAAGCACAGACATTTTTATCTATATTTTATAATTCAACAAAAGAAAGATGTGTAATGGTACCATAAATTAACTCACTTTAGGTATCTCTTAGACATAAAAGATGGCCGCACTATGAAAATTCATCTGAGTGGTGAGAATGATTTTAAAATTTAAATTCTATTTGTTTTTTGTCATTATTTATAAATAAATTTTTGTATGTGTCTGATACATGTCAGAACTATCAACCAATTACAGTTAAGTACTCTTAAATAACCGACTAACTACTTTGGCTTCGACGATGCAAGAAACAATTATATTGGTAAATAAAATAAAGCTTCAGAGGGGGTGAGTACTAGTCAATTAACTGAGAGTTTGAAAGCTTCTTTTGGTTTACAGTAGATGGCAAGAGTTTCAGTATGCAAATTTCATCCTGCTCTTTTCTAATAAACACTCAAGCGAAGAGGCTAAACATTTTTCTGCATACTTGCAATTGTCTAAGTTGTTTGAAATAGCACTTGTTACAACTAGTTTGGCATTTTCTTCTGGATTGTCCAGCTTTCAGGAGAGTAAGGTTGTAACACCTTGGACATCAAACTTTCAGCTATTTGGGTGAGTTGCGTCGTGTGGAAAGTATCCGTGGTTCACTGTGGTTTTTTATCCAACGTTAGGGATTTTCTGCTATCAAAGCCTGGTTTGGAGCCTTTCAAGAGTGATCAGACTACATACCTAACTTAACCTAACCTTAATTATTTCTTTATAATAAACGGAAGGCAGAGAGAGTCTTTGAGGTTAACTCAATTCTTCAAATAAACACCGAAATGTTGTTGAATATACTACACGAGCCCTGACTATTTGTAAGCAGAAGTAATTTATATGTTTGTCCAGTCTTCTTAAAGCTTTTTGTAAAAAACCGCACAGTTCATTTATAAGCACATGTTTTATTGAAATTAATAATTTTTATATTAAGTTATTAAGTTTTGTATTATTACACACCATTCCATAAGTTTACATACCTATTCGATGACTAAGATTTTTCCTAAATTTTCATAAATAAATTAAAATTTACAAATTAAATTGTCCAATTTCCTGTTAAACAGTGTGTTCATCGGTCGTTAGTTGCCACATGGCCTATGTAATTGTATAGCTTGTCACGTTTTTGACAATGTTGGTGTTGTTGTAACATATACCTATGTCTTCAAATCTGTGATTATTTATAGTAAACACTAAACGCTACAAGCTATTACTTGCATGCGCTTGCACTCGAGCATGAAATTTCTTATTGCGCAAATCTTTCGCATTTAATTATTTTTCTTTTCAATAATATTTGGGTTTAAATATTTTAACATTTAATGTTATTATTGTATATAATACCCTTCACAGAACTTGATTCCGATTGTTCAGTTTATATGACAGCTATATGCTATAGAGGTCCGATATCGGCCATTCCGACAAATGAGCAGTTTCTTAGTGAGAAAAGGACAGGTGCAAAATTTCAGATCAATAGCTTAAAAACTGAGCAACTAGTTTGCGTATACACAGACGGACGGACAGACAGACGGACATGGCTAAATCAACTCAGCTCATCACGCTGATCATTTATGTATATATTTTCTAGGATTTCCAACGTTTCCTTCTGGGTCTTTCAAACCTCGTGGCAAACTTAATATACCCTGTTCGGCATATAAAAATATGTGAATAATATCAAAATCGTAAATGCAGAACGGACGCAATGGTCAACCATGCCGCTAGCAATGCCACGAAAATTAAGCAATAAAACACCCATATCGTTCAACTAGAACTCCAATGAACTAGTTATCATCGCTTTGCAGCACTCGTGATTTATCGATGAAGGTTTTTACAGCAAACTCTTATTATTTCAAAAGGAGCTTTGTTGTTAAGTTGTGTGATTCCTTAAAATCAAAGAGGCCCTCCAGGGTTGCTAGTATGAACATATTCCTATTTAGAAACGCTGAATAAATACATAAATACAGCATATGTATATACACATATAATATATATATTCATACATTCACGTAAACGTACGTATTTGCTAAGTGGTGTCCAAAAATCGCATAAAATGCTTCTGAAAGTTAAATTTTCTATTTACTTTTGAATGAAAACTCAGTGGTAAACAAGTGAAAAAAGACGAATCTAAAGATATATAAGATAGACAAATATAAATAATTTCCGCATTTAAAATGCTTTTCACTTTATTGCGTAGTTGTCAGCATTAAAAACTTATACTTTGCTTTTTAGCTTTAATCAAATAAAAATCATACCTTATTTACTTCTAATTTATTTTATTTTTTGCTTCATGTTTACTAATTGCTTCAATCATTATTTACTTCAATTGGTTTGTGCTCAGTGGGGATTTATTATACTAAAAATAATAATCGGTGCAAACAAAAAATACAAACATAATATAAAAACTTTTAGTAAGGAACAGAAGAATGAACAGTGAAAATATTGAAGTTTTACAAATTGTCTTTAAAAAGGCATCGGCATTTGAAGCGCCAGATCAGCAGGCGAGTGAAATGAAATACTTCATAATTGTCAATAGCGTGGTCACCATGGTCTACTGGCTTCAGGGGCCAAGTAACAAGTTTTCAATTATCCAATTCTATACTTAACCCATGAGTATAAAAATTTTAAATTGTGCTCATAAATAACATTCTTAGTTTTAATTTTGCTAACTTCGCTCTTTCTTTGCATTGCACTAATTACAACAAATTCTCTATGTAGTTCCGATATACAACACATAAGTATTATAGCTGACTAAAACATGTTAGATCGACGCGAGCCGTATTTTATGCCACTCAAAGAGTACTTAAAATAAAAAACATTTTAGCGCACAAACTCTTACATACATATCTATAGAATGTTCTATATCGCAAATGGTCTATTTTGTACAGAAAGAACTTTATCTGCATCTATCACTTTAATAAGCTTTACCCATTGACATTGGCGATTTGTTATTTCTTTTTTAAATGAAATAAATAAAAGATTTACAATAAATTGACTACTTGCCGAGCATGTCACAGCTGCTGGTGTCTGGTTCGCCACTTTGGTACATTAAATCCATTCAGCTAACTTTCTTATTTACATACATATATATGCTTCACCCAGTATACATATAATATACACTGACATGACAAGTATTTTTTTTTTCCAACTAACATTTTTCTATTTGCTTCTTGCATATATATGTTGAAGCCATCAATTTCAATTTGGGTTTTCCACATTTATGTCGAATATTCAACATGATATGCCGTTCAACAGTCTTTCCTACTTAAAGTTGATCATA